TATTAATGGCAGCTGAGACCCTGCACGTCTCATTTGTGGGTGACCTGAGATGGAGTGAAACAAAGCACCCCTAAGTAGCTTTTTGCTTTTTCTGCATTTCATTTTGAAAATAGCAGTACAGTTACAGCGAAGCCTCACACTCACCCACTCCAGCGCTTGACAACCTGCCTGCCTTTGCAGTCCCTCCCATCTGCCTGACATCTTACACTTCAGCGGCACAGTCTTCCTGACACCTCCCGCCTCAGTCCCCACTCCAGCCTGACTTGCATGCCCTCATCCTTCTAGGCTGGGGAATTGGCTCCTCTTAGAAGCTTCCCCCACAAACCCCACCTGCCAAATTCCACCTCCAGGCTGCTCAGATGCCCTGCTCGGTGTCCCCATAACACCTTCTGTTCCCCTCCACTGCACTTAACACACTGTGGTGATATGCTGTGCCTGCATGTCCGTGAGCTTCCTGAGAGCAGTGTGGAGTCATATTAGTTTTAGGAGGCTGGGTCCTTACCCAGGCCCTAGCATACCATGTGTGTGTTTAGTAAACATTTGTCTTGTTCAGAACCTTAAAGGAACCACAGACGATCTCTGCAATCTGTAGTATATGCTGTAAAGCCTGCGCACCAGGCTCCAAGTGGAGCTGCTGGGACTCGAACCAGAGCCAGCCGATTCTCAATGTGGATGCTGTTCCAACAAGCCCAATGGCCTGGTTACTTCAGGCAGCAGAAAGGCCATTATGGGACATGGGTGGTTACTCGTGTCCCTTAATAATGGGCAGCGGGGATGCAACAGTTTCTTTTTGTAGCTGCTTTCCAACCCCCATTGCCTAAACAAGGGCTCTCTCAAACAGCCGCACAACTGTGTCTTTCCCATGTCTTATCTTCCGTCTTTCAGATGAAAATAAGAAAAACGTGGAGCAAGCACATGTGACTTTAGTTTGCTTCTAATTGCAAGAGTAATACACACTCATCATAGAAACCTTGAAAGATACTGAAAAGTATAAAGAGGAAATGTCACCCCCTATCCCACAACAAAAAACTGACTTCTGTCACTCTATAGCCATCTTTTTTATCCTTTCTATGCATCTATCTGCATTTTTAGCTATAACTAAAATCACTCTGCACATTCACATTTATGATCTTTTTTTAAACTGAAAAATACCTATGTGAGAGCACAAGCATCGGCAGCTTCAGCAGCAGCTGTCACTTATTGCACACTTGCCTGAAGGGAGTTCGAGACCAGCTTGGGCAATATAGTGAGACCCCCGTCTCTACTAAAAATAAAAAGAGGACATACTTAATATAATTTTATGTCTGATGATGACTCCTCACCCCACCACCACCTGATGATGTATGGGTCTTCTTTTCTTTCCTTTTTTTTTTTGAGACAGTCTCCCTCTGTCTCCTAGGCCAGAGTGCATGGCGCAATCTTAGCTCACTGCAACCTCTGCATCCAGGGTTCAAGTGATTCTCCTGCCTCAGCCTCCGAGTAGCTGGAATTAGAGGTGCATGCCACCACGCCCAGCTAATTTTTTTGTGCTTTTAGTAGAAACAGGGTTTCACCACATTGGCCAGGCTGGTTTTGAACTTCTGACCTCAAGTGATCCGCCTGCCTCAGCCTCCCAAAGTGCTGAGATTACAGGCATGAGCCACCGCGCCCGGCCTGCATCTTCTTTTCTAAACACTAGAGATTTTTTGTCATTTATCTCCTTCTCTTCAAAAGTAATCTTGGAGAAATTGCTGCCAAATCTTTCCCTCTCTGCAGCAAACATTTTAAAATGGAGTGAACAGAAGTGCAGGTCAACAGAGGGTTTCCTCACAGCAAAAACGTTTTGCTTGTTGATAAACATATCTTTGTTTTTATGCCTGGTGACATTATTTGAGGTCTCTGATAGGATGGACCAGTACTCTGCATTAAGTTGTCGTCGTGTCTCAGCTGGCCTATGTCTCCTGTCTGCTTCAAGAGTTGCTCATAGCCTGAGGGCTGTGAATTACACCCTGTGTTCCAGGTGGTGCCAGACGGGAGGTTAGAAATGAGACTCTGAATGAAAAGAAACAGGTACAGCAGAACCCATCTTTCCGGAATTCTAAAGCTTATGGTTCCTCACTGTGTAGCAGAGGTGAATCTGCCGGAGTCTGTGCATTATCTGAGAATCTGCCTCCAGGGTTGTGGATGGGGCTGGGCTGAAGCAAGACTAGAGGGCAGGATTTTTTCCCCCCAGATCTGGAATTTAGCCCACACCCTGGCTTTTAGACTTTAGGCTTTCGATGCCGGCTGCCTTAAAACTCTTGCCAAGTGCACCACTTATAGCAGCCTAAGGAGTGGCCACTTCCCCACTGACCCAGTTCCAGTAGCCAGGTGTTCAGAGCAATTGGAATTCATGTGACTGCCACTCAGATCTACGAGGAAGATGAACAGGCTGGTTAACAAAAACATGTAAGACTGACCTCCTTGCCCAGAGATGGTTCAGGGTGGCTTTTCACCTTGGTTTTTACCTCAGGCTGTCTGTGGCCATCTCTCCAAATGAACAGCCACAGCATTGGCATAAAAACTTACTATGCAGATGCAGCTTTTTGGGATGTTTCCTGTGTGTGTATATCCCCTGCCCACCCCATTGCTAACCTGCTAATTCCACCTTAATCCTTCCCATTTAGAAAATACAGGACAGCCATTGCTCATCAAAGCTTGTCCCACCCAATTCTGCCTCTCCCCTTGTCAGTCACCCTCAAATGAATGCCAGCAGCTTAGTCAGATGGCTTGCTGTATTTACATAGTTTGCCTGTTGGCTTAGATTGGCCAACCTGAAGAGTTGTGTTGGTGGTGGTGGTTTTTGTTTTGTGAATCTTGCCATTCCTTCTTCACTATTAAATTCTTGCTTCACTTTTAGCAGAAAGAAGTGTTTAATAAATTCAGGGGATTTTTTTTTCCTTCTAATTAAAGCGTTAGTTAAAATAGGGCATATGAGGTCACAAGCCGTGCTTCCTTCTGATAGGGATCTGCGTGGTTACACCAGGGATGCAGTGGGAGCTGAGCAGGAGCACGCACCATGCTCTGCCCATTGTTCAGCTGTGAATGTGTGGAAACACCCTGTGCAAAGCCAGTGGCACTTACAACCACAAATAAAGACAGGTTCAAGACTGGGTGTGGTGGCTCACGCCTGTAATCTCAGCACTTGGGGAGGTTGAGGTGGGAGTATTGCTTGAGCTCAGGGGTTCGAGCCCAGCCTGGGCAATGTAGTGAGACCCCATCTCTACTAAAAATCAAAAAAATGAGCCGGGCGTGGTGGCACATGCCTGTAGTCCCAACTACTCAAGAGGCTGAGGTGGGAGGATTGCTTGAGTCCTGGAGGTCAAGGCTGCAGTGAGCCGAGATCGCGCCACTGCACTTCAGCTTGGGTGAAAGAATAAGACCCTGTCTCCCCTCAAAATAAAGATAGGTTATGCATATCTGCATCCTTTGGTAAAATACCGATTTCCTCACAAAATAATCTCCAATCCCACAAAATGGTATCACGGGTCCCAAGTCAATGGCACTCATCCTGTGGGCCTTAGCTCACGTTTCACTTGCTCAGAGACGTTGTCTGACCCCCAGGCAGGTGACCAGATGTCACACTTCCTCCACTTTTCCTTCACAGGATTTACCAGAATTTGTCGATTTGCTTGTGTCACTTTTTTTTTTTTTTTTTTTTTTTTTGAGATGGAGTTTCACTCTTGTTGCCCAGGCTGGAGTGCACTGGCACGATCTCAGCTCACTGCCACAAACCTTCCACAACTTTCTATGTCCATTTATATTTTGTCCTGTCACTTTTTTTTTTTTTTTTTTTCTTTTTGGAGTAATGTGTTTCTCACACCAAACTCTGTATGGGGAGAGGCTGTGTCTGCTCTACTGTCTATTGGATCTCGGATCCGAACTCAGCACCAGCTAATTAGGAATTTCATAAATGTCACAGGAAGGAGTGAGGAAACCCATTGATCTTAGAGGTGCTTGAAGCAAAACGTTTTACACTTAGATAAATCTTGGATCACTTTTTAAATGAGACCTACACATTTCTTTCATGAAGCAGTCGTGATTTCCATAGCACTTTATTCACACCACTTGCATAGTACTTAGTACACTCCATAGTGACTTTTATTTTAAGAGTCCACTTTACCTGCTAGGTTGAGAGTCACTTAAAGGGGAGATGGCATCTTGCTCATTTCTACATTCCCACTCTTGACTCAGTCTTTTGAAGGACTGAGTGGTATTTCCAATGTGGATGCTACCATGAGGCTGTCATTTGCCTTTTTTTTTTTTTTGGAGGAAGGAGTCTACCCCTGTCGCCCAGGTGGGAGTGCCGTGGCACAACCACAGCTCATTGCAGCCTTTACTTCCCAGGCTCAGGTGATCCTCCTGCCTGATTTTTTTTTTTTTTCCTACAGACAAGGTCTCACTATGTGGCCCAGGCTGGTCTTGAACCCCTGGGCTCAAGGGATCCACCCACATAGGACTCCCAAATTGCTAGGATTACAGGCATGAGCCACTGCACCCGGCCTCCACATCTGTTTGACTGACTTGTCTAAAGGGGTGTTCTTTTTCTGTGATTGTTCTCTGCCCATTTGTGAGAACTAGAGCACCTACTAGGTGTCCTTTACTTTGGATAATTAACCCCACATGTTCCAGATTAAAGGCATATACCTTTCGATTTACATTCTCTCTCCAGGTACCTGACCTTTAAGGAACAGAGCTGGAACTCGAATCAAAGGTTTCTGATGCCTTCTGTACTTTTGATTTCATGTAGCAATTCAAGGCTGTGTGGAACTAACTACAGGATATCCAGGTGCTGCTCCGCCCCAGGGCTCTAATCCCACCAGACCTGTTGCGCTGCACTCTGACCCATGGTCAGGATGTTTCCTGGAATACATCCACTTGACAGTCTCCTCTCTGTGCCACAGCCCTGGGCAATATGATGCTGTTGGAGCTCTAGATTAATTGCTACACCACATTGGACCCTCTCTTGTGTTTGTATCCAGGATCGTCTGTTTTTTGTGATGGAGTTTGTGAATGGGGGTGACTTGATGTTCCACATTCAGAAGTCTCGTCGTTTTGATGAAGCACGAGCTCGCTTCTATGCTGCAGAAATCATTTCGGCTCTCATGTTCCTCCATGATAAAGGAATCATCTATAGGTGAGTTTTGGTTGCTGCCCTCACTTCTAATTCGCTGCCTCCTCCACTCTCCTGGCATGATCCATCCTTCCACTTCTCATGATAATCAGTTGAAACCTTTTTTGGAATTAAATTCACAGAAGCTTTGTTTCTGTTTTTGTTTTTGTTTTTGAGGCAAGGTCTCACTCCGTAGCCTGAGCTGGAGTGCAGTGGCGCAATCATGGTTCACTGCAGCCTTGACCTCCTGGGCTAAGCAGTCCTCCCATCTTGGCCTCCCAAGTAGATAGCTGGGACTACAGGCACGCACCACTACACCTGGCTAATTTTTAATTCTTTTGTAGAGACAGAGGTCTTGCTATGTTGCCCAGGCCTCACAAAGGTTCCAAGGATCCATTAGGATAAATGAATGACAGTAATAAACACTGCCTCCAAAGTAAAATTTGCCCCACTTGGTATTCATAAAATAGGCCCCAGAGGCTCAGAAGAGACTATTTATTCATCAGTTGGTTCAGCCAGGGTTTACTAAGGACCTGTCATAGCCAAGCCCTGCAAGATGCTAAACACAGTGTTGTTCTCTTTTTTTTCATTTTCACATTTGAAGTGAATCCCTTAACCATGATTCTATTCCATTTTAAGAATCTACACCTTAACTAAAGGGTGTGGCTAACCTGCTCTAAGTTGCTATAAGAAGAATCACAGTCATGTGGAGCATGGCTCACCAGTCAGGAACTAGGTGAGCCGCTCGTGAGCAGTGTCCTGCATGATAATATCTTCCGTGTGTAGCCCCCTCCCAAATATTATTTGATTCTCCATTTTGTGACACACAATCTTTTGATCATAATATACCATACTTTGAATGGGCTCCAAATCTGCTTGATGTTGTTAAGTCTCAGAATTCAATAAATATCAAATGTAACTTTAGTCAGAGAGAAGGTCAGAGACAGTGAGAAATGTAATAGTGAATGTTAGACAATTTTTATTCTTAAATTTTCCTGTTTTTTTTTTTCTGCTGTCAGTGTCCTTCTACTCTTTAAATCATATAACCTAATTGCCACATATGCTCTTTTTTCTTTTTTATTGTTTTATTTATTTTTTTTCTTTTTTTTTTTTTTTTAAGACAGGGTCTCGCTATGTTGGCTAGGTCGGTCTTGAACTCCTGGCCTCAAGCAATCCTCCCACCTTGGCCTCCTAAAGTGTGAGCCACTGCACCCAGCTCACATAAACTCTTTTAAGATGCAATTGTTGCTTTCCTTAGAGAAAAATTTTCATATATTAGGGGCATGAATGCCAAAGTAAAGGATTTTCTGATTGAAATTTGCTATTTATTAACCTTGTTAAATGCAGTTCCTTTCATAAACTCATGATAGTATTGACATCATTATTAAATTATAATAGCTTTAAAAACAGTGAATATTCTTAACTACTGTGGGAGTCAAAACAGGAAGAGAACAAGTAGTAAGTCTCGTAGAGAGAATGCAGTAGGACTGGTGGTTGGTGCTGGAGTGAAGTGGGAAGGCAAGCACTGCACAGCAGGCGTGGCAGGCACCACAGAGGCACTTCCTCTAATTCATTCTCAGTGCAGGTCCCCCAGACCTCAACTTCGTACAGTGCATTTATCACGGCCTCATGGCACCGTGCAGGAGGGAGGAGGGTGCAGAGCTGGGAACCAGCCTGGATAAGGGCAGTCGGAGCCACCTGTTTGAATGCAGTCCAGGATCTCTGCTCGTTCTTAGGTCACGGGGCTGCTGCAGGTTGATTAGGCAGCCTGTTTTGAGCTTTCTTGACCAGGCTGTGGAGATGAGAGCATTTTTTTCCCACTCTCCACTTTCTTCCCAGTGTATGATTTGTGGAGGTTGCTGGTATGATCTCTGTTGGTGAAAGGAATTAAGCGTCCTCCTTGTGCTATCAGACTCTGGGCAGTGAGTTCCATTTTTGTTCTCCTCTCTGCGGCTAATCCAGCCATCTCCACTCCGCTTGCCCCAAAGAGAGACGTTTCCACATACAGGTTAAAAACTGCATGTAAGTAATGACTCCCCTACTTGACAGGGACTTCTGTTGCAGATCAAAATAATATTAGCAACAAGACCTAAACTGAACACTTGGGCTGGGTGTGGTGACTCACGCCTCTAATCCCAGCACTTTGGAACGCTGAGTGGGGAGGATCGCTTGAGCCCGGAAGTTTGAGGCCAGCCGGAGCAACATCTATAAAAGAATATATATATACACATATGTATTAAACAAATTAGCCAAGCATGGTGGCAGCACCTGTGGTCGTAGCTGCTTGGGAGGCTGAGGTGGGAGAATTGCTTGAGCCCAGGAGGTTGAGGCTGCAGTGCGCTGTAATTGTGCCATTGCATTCCAGCCTGGGTGACAGAGCGGACCCTGTGTGTTGATCAATCAATAAATCAATAAAACGAACACTTGTTACAGGAGCAGCTCTTCCCTTGCATTCCTCTGTTAATTCTTCTAACAATATTATTTTATAACAGTAATAGTATCCACATTGTTCAGATGGTTAGGTCTTCCAAAGACTTCAGAATTCAAACCATCGTTCTAACCACTGGGCTCCGCTGTCTCCTCAGGGGAGACTTGAGGATTTAGCGTACACTACAGAGTCAGTTTCTTAGTCCTTTTTGGTGATAGGACCACTTCAGTTCCTGAAAATAAGGTAGAGTGGGCAAAAGCAATTCAGTCTTATCTCAAGTTTTCTTGAATCCTCAGAGGCTTTGAGTTGGGCCGAGCAGCGAGCTTGCTTTCCTGCATTGGATGTTACTGCCCCTCAGTCTCCTTGTCTCATTTGTCTCAAAATAGGGTGGGTAGACACTGTAACTTGATGTGGTTTCTGGTGAAGCAGTGTCAGCCCCCATCTTGACAAATTTTATTTCAATTCATGGTATCTGGGATTCGATTCTGAGAATTGATTTTAATTTACTCTTGGACTGGAATCCCATGTTCAGGCTCTAACTGATATGGTTGACTTTGAAGGGAACACATTTAATTAGGATAGATTCAAATGCTATTTTTATCCCGTGGACTTATTTCACAGGATAATTTAATTCCATTCAGTATACTGGCTGGGAACACAGTCTTAAGGATAAGACTTTGAAAGCCAAGTCCTTGGCTTTACACACAGTAAAGGGCACATTTAGGTCACAGAGGGTGTGGATTTGATACAAGAGCCCAGTGAGAAACCTGGGAGTATCAGACAGCCTCGTTTATCATACGTGTCCCAGAAAGCCCTTTATCAGAGCTAAAAAATAATCTCCTTAGAAGATGCCTCTGACCTATCCAAGTAGAGCTGTTGTTTGTTTGTTTGGGTTCTTTGAGGGAAGGGAGGGAGAGAGGTGTTTATTTTCCAGCAAATAAAAGATGATACCATGTGCAAGTCACTGTTAAAGAAGGCTTCAGAAGGTGGTACCTTAGGCTCCTCTGACATGAATTTCTTCTTTAGCTGCCTGTGCCTATGCAAGAGGACACAGACCAGTAATGTTTGCACGCGTTCCGACTTGGGTTGTGACCCTGATTCTCAGATGTATTCACTTGTATCTTGTGGAGGAACAAAAGCCCAGTTCCTGGGAGACTCAGCAAGGGAAGGGCCTGCCCCTCTGCCTTTGGTTGGAGGGTCTGGAACCTGCTGTGGCCCAGAAACCAAGAAGAGTAGGCTAGGAAGGAGGCAGTCACCAAGTCAATTCTCCTAAGGGGAAAAAAAGACTATTCATTCTTTTGTCCTGGGCTTCTTGGCCAGTTGGGGAGGCCAGACAGTGCTCATGAATAATTTACTCATGGTGTTGACTTTTTTCCAGAGTCAAGCCCTACAGAAAAGTTAGGAAAACAAAGGGACATGCATCCCATTGACCAAACATCTTTCAGCGTGTTTCATCAGCTGTATTAAAGGGAAACTCAGCTGTCATTGACATTTCAACCCCAAACTCCTGAAGCCAGCCAGCACACATTTGATTTGCTGTTTTTGACGAAGTGTGGAATACTGTATCTGAAATATGTTGGGTGAGGAATAGTTTATAGAAGGGCACAGTTTAAATTTCACTTACTCCTCACCATGTTACACTTGGGCACACAGCACTTTCCAGCACAGGGTTTTCAACTCATGAGTCTGACTGCTTTGTGCCTTATGCAGTTGTTGGCATGCTGGGTGCATGGTAATTAGTGTTTACCCCAAAAGCTGCAAATGCTTCCCATGGTATTTCGCCATCCCATTTTGCAGATGTGGCCCACAGAGGAAGCTTTTGCCCCACAGAGGCTGACTGCCAACCCTGACATGCTGCGTTCTACTCCCATGATTACGTGGCACGTTAACTTTTCAACTTTGAACTGCTGATTTCTCCTCAAATTGAGAGAAAAATGTCTACTTAATTTGACTCTTTTAAAAATTCAGAATTTGGGAAGAGTAACAATCTCATTCCCAAGATTAAGCCCTGTTAAGCTAGTCTCTGAACATAATTGAGGTATCGGTGAATATACCAATTGCCAACATCATCTAGCTCTTGTTTCTCAAGGTTCATGAGGGTCCACAGGTGCCTCGCTGACTCTGGATAACTCAGCTGGGCGTAGCCTTGCTTGGCAATTGGCCTTGTCTGTGAGCATCACTTCCTGTTCTAAGAATTCACAAGTGATCTGTTTCCAAATGAATTTGTGTGTTGGGGCCAGGCACATTGGCCTATGCCTATAATCCCAGCACTTTGTGAGGCCAAGGTGGGCAGATCTGTTGAGTCTAGGAGTTCAAGACCAGCCTGGGCAACATGAGGAGACCCTGTCTCTATAAAAAATACAAAAATTTAGGTGGGCATGGTGGTGCACACCTGTGTAGTCCCAGCTACTCGGGAGGCTAAGATGGGAGGATCACTTGAGCCCAGGAGGTGTAGGTTGCAGTGAGCTGAAATTGCGCCACTGCACTCCAGCCTGGGTGTCAGAGTGAGACCCTGTCTCGAAAAAACAAACAAACAAAACAAAAAATTGTGGCGAGTGATGGATTTTACATGCACGAGTTACTGTACGCTCTCTCT